TCTGTGTTCTTCTCCTTTGTGAAGAGTAGCTGGACAGCACCTTAATGGTCTAGATGGGTCTAGAGGTCGGGGAGATACACCTTTATCTCAAATAACCAACTTTAAATGGACCGCACTTACTTGTGTGGTAGTTACTGAATTACCCTGTTTAATACTCAAAAGAGTTCTGTAGTTGTGGCTATTAATAGTCTCAGTGTATAGATGGCAGAGGGGACAAATCAGGCTGATGTTTTATTTTTAGTGTATATGTGTGTGTACACATGAAGGCCAGAGGTTGACACTAGGTTGCCTCAATGACTCCCTACATTTTTGCGTGAGGCCGGTATCTCTCACTGGACCCAGGACTTACCAGTTTGGCTGTGCTGGCTTCTCAGTAAACCCCAGGGATCCTCCTGTCTCTGCAACTTCAGTGTTGGGATGCTGGAATGGTTCAACAATGGAATTGCTGAGGAGAATTCTGAGCACTTGTGAGAAAACTCCAAGAGAACGAGACAAGAGTCTTCTGACCTCAATTTCTTCAAAACATGGAATAGTTCTTGGAATGCATTTTTGTGTTCCTCCTGGGTGTGGCAGATAGGAGTGAGTTTACTTCAGATTACTCATTAAAACTGGCTAGTATTTGTTCATATGCCTCTATGGAAAAATGTTTTGTTTTGCCACATGTGTTTTGTCCTTGTGATTTTATACTTTATGTGATTGTTCTTAATCCTCAACGTATACATTGTCTGATGCTCTGAGTAAAGTTGTCTATTGCATGAACTTTACTGTATTCTTAGCCAATTAAAGAGCTAGACCACTGGGATAACTGCTATGTGCCTCTGCAACTGGCATTTTAAATACAGGTGGGGTCCAAACTCAGGTCATGGTACTTGCATGGCTGCCTCCTTTCCTGAGTCTTCTCTCGAGACTTGAGTCGTGTTTTGTTTTCCTATGTATTAGTACTTTCCATTAGAACTATTGATTTCCGATCCCTTGATGAATTTTCAACACCCCGAGGTTGGCTGACATTAATACATCAGACTAAGATCAAAGTATTAAATTTTCAGTAGACATATAGCTCAGTGCTGAATTATGTACTTCGCATGTGCAAGGCCCTGCATTGGACCCCAGGGTTCTCTCTTCCCCTCTCTCACTCTCCCATACATTCAGAGAAACCATAGTATCATGATAATGAAGATGTTGTTCTTCATCACCATGTTCAGACAGTTGCTAACTCTTGATGATCTTTCTTCTCTGTTCTCTCTGGGTTATTTTGAAGCAAACCTTAAACATCATTTAATTTTATTTGGAAGTAGTTGAACAAATATCTTTAAAAGGTGAAGATTCACAACAAATAAAATCTACACATTTGCCACTCACCCAAAGCCACAGTAATTCCTTAACATCTACTGTCCAGCCAATGTTTAAGTTTGCTCAGTCTTCTGTTCTCTTGTGGATGTTGTTTGAGTTGCAGTAGACGTGGCACCCATGGGCACAGTCTGTGGTTGTTTCTTAAGAGTCAGTACACAGGCAGCATCTTGAGCACAGGATGGTCCACTTGCAGGTTGTAAATGAAGATTTTATTGCATGGCCATCACCACCTGCACTTTCTGTAAATTGGCCTTAGATTTGGAGGCCGGGGCAGGACGACAGATTTCTTGAGAGTTGTGTCCCCGCAGGAGGTACATATCTGTGTGTTTCTTTCCTATGGTATCCCCACTGATAATGATCATTTTTGTTTCATTGTTTCATGAATGGTTGCAAAGCAACAAAGTTCTAATCATGCATTTTAGTATTTCCTTTCTACTGTTTGCTAAAAATAATTCTATAAAGAAGCGTTTTATCTCTTCTTATTTTGAGATACAGCTCTGACAGCAGAGGCAAGGTACATGCCTGCTGAACCCCAATCTTCCCTTCTAAGCATCTTTGCACAGGTCATTAATTGGAGATTCATTTAGCATCTCATAAGTTTGTGAGATTAAGTATATTTCATGTTTTAATCCCTTGCTGATGTAATCCTTATAAATGATTAAAGCGTTCTCTTTCTCACCAGTAAGAGCTTCTTCAAGTTGGCATGTGAGCCCTCTGCACATCCTTTCAGCAGCTTCTCATGACTTCTTTGCTTTCTAGAATAACTAACCCTCTGGATTTTTCAGTGCATCTTACACACCTCCTCCTTCAGACATGGTATTAGATATTTGCATGCCCCCACCTTCAGACATGGTATCAGACATTTTACAAGGAGGTGATACTTAGGTATGCTGTGGGAATGCCTAGTTTGTTTCTTCTTCCTAGTAATTCTCATTGGACATAGATCTAAAATGTTCTTTTTCTTTGAAAATATTAAAAGATAAAAGTCACCATGAATTCTTATTGATGCTTCTGATTCAGATTTTGGGCTTAAAAATGTTAGAGCTCAAATAGATTTTTATTTTCTCTCTATATTGAAAATTCCAATGTCCAAGTATGGAAACAACTGCCCACTTACTTTGTCCTGCCTATGCAAGTATCAGTCTGTTACATATTTAAAACATGTTTACTGTACACTTACTAAGTACACTTACTGTACACTTACTAAGTACACTTACTGTACACTTACTAAGTGTATTGTGTGTATGTGTGTGTATGCCTGTGTGCATTTACTGGTGTGTGTGTGTGTGTGTGTGTGTGTGCGTGCATGCGTGCACAGAGGACAACCTTTGGTGTTGGTCTTTGCCTTCCACCCTGCAAATTGTATTGTAAAGTAATATGAACTGGTCATTATATGTTTTTGCCATCAATTTTATGTTAGTTACCTCATTTGTTTAATTTCTTATGGATTATAGGAATTGCTTTCAAAAACCCTTTTCCCCCAAATTATGGTTTCTGAAGTGAAGTCTGTAAACAGATACATACAAAAAGGTTAGTGTCTACTCCTGATCCCGAATTCTGCTCTCTCTCCTCCCCAGTAGCTATTTTTTTTTTTCAGTAAGAAAACCACCAGCACATGTGGTTTTTAAAATTCAAATGCGTTAAAACTAAGTAAGTATTTGTTCTTCAGGCACACCGGTGATATTTTCAGTGCTGTTCCACAGGTTGTCAGCGACCTCATAGAACACGGACTGTGGAACTTTCCTTACGTGCTTGAGGGTTCTACAGCACAGCCCTACCCTAGAGAACTCAGTTCTTTAAACATTTGGTTTATCCTTTTACTTTTTAAAAATAAAAGGTTATTTTTTTCCTGCCACATCACAAAATACCTGAACCCAAGTACTTACAAAGAAGAAAGGTTTATCTATTTAGCTCACAGTTTTGAGATTGGAAACCCAAGATTGGGCAGCTGCAGTTCTGTGGTCTCCTGTGAAGACCTCATGGCAGATGATGGAAGCCCTCCGTGGTGGAGATTTCATGGTGAGACAAGGAGTCAGAGCGATTCAGGGGTCAGACCTGATCCATGGGCCTCCACCTGAATATAAGGTCTCTGTTTTCTATGTTAGACAAGCTCTTGACTACTGAGCTGTATCCCTCCCCCTTTACTTTGCTTTGAGAATGAGCCTTGCTCAGTTGCCCAGGCTGCTCTGGAACACACGATCTTCTTGCCCCATCCTTTCTTCTAGCTGGAATTACAGTTATGTGGCATTGTGCTCGGTGTAGGCTTCTTGTAGCTGGAATTATTGGTCTAGGCCTGGCTTTGTATAAACAACATGCCATCTCAAGAACTCAGTGTGGGAGATTCCAGGGCTAATTCCTTCCAAGGGTAATACACTCATGACCTAATTACTTCCTATAAATCTGGTCTCTTAAAGACATCATCAACCTGAGCATAGCCCTTCCAGGGACAAACCTTTCACAAATGTGCCCTGCACACTTCCTGAGCTTTGTGTTATCCTCTGTCAGTGCTCCCTTCTGCACCCCACGGCTTCTCACATGCTGCTCATGCTGGGCCCGTGGTGTGCCTCTGAGACATGACCCAGTCTGTCCCTTTCTTAGTAGATCTTGGAGATTTTCCCAGACTGTAGAGTGAATACAGAGTCAGGATCATCCTTGTTATTTCAGTAAGTTAGAGTCCAGCTCCTTCCTGCTGGCACTCGTGGAGCTGTGAGTGGTGGCGCTGCCCTGTACATATGTCTTCTCATGTATAGGAAGTACTCTACTATTAATAGTAACTTCATCAATAAGGCTCCGTCTTCCAAATAGGGAGAGAGAGCGGAATCAATCTCATTATGACATTTCATTTTTCTCATTTACCTTTTTTTTTTGGGGGGGGGGGGTTGCTTTTTGAGGCAGGGTTTCACTGAGTAATCCTGGCTGTCCTGGCACTCACTCTGTAGACCAGGCTGGCCTTGAACTCAAAGATCCACCTACTTCTGCCTCCCAAGTGTTGGGATTGAAGTCATGCGCCACCATCGCCTGGCCTCATTTAGTTTTTACCTCATTTTGTTTATGGGGTGCTATGGCACACTTATGTGCTAAGGATGATTTTGTTCACCAAGTATGTTTTAACCATCATATTTTGCTTTACATTTTTATAGTCAGTCTTAAGTAGTTTTGTTTCTTTTTTGTTTTTCGTGACAGGGTTTCTCTGTGTAGCCTTGGCTGTCCTAGAACTCACTCTGTAGATCAGGCTGGCCTCCAACTCAGAAATTCGCCTTCCTCTGCCTCTCAAGTGCTGGGATTAAAGGCGTGTGCCACCACTGCCTGGCAAGTATTTTTCTTACTTGCAGGTTTTTTTTTTTAATTACTTCCCCACATAGAAAAGATACTGGCAATATGATCATATTGACTTACTTATAAATGTTCAGGATCTTGTTTGTAATTCTCAGGATTCAAGGGCAATCAAAATTAGTTGACATTTATTCAGGAGGAATGATATCTGCTAAGTCATGACAAACCTGTCTTATTTCAAATATGTAAGTTAATATATAAAAATGTAAGCAATAGCATCTTTCTTACCACTGCATTCTGCTTTAGTTACTCTAGTTTGATTAGAGAACTTATTTCATGACCCTTTGATGAGTCTGCTTTCTCTTTCCTCACTGTAGCGAACGAAGTGTATCTTGTATTTACTGGTGTGGATGACAGACAGATTGTGAAGAAAACAAACTGCACATAAATATTATTACCAGGACACCACAGCTACAAAGACATTCTTCAGCATTTTCATGAATCTGTAAAATTATGTGACTAGAAAGGTCTTTTTTCCAAACAATGGGGGAAAGAGCCCGAAGTCCAGATAATGATCAAGAAAGGAAAGGAGGCAAGCACCTTTACTCTCATTACTCGTCTGATTTTGGGTCCTCACCACAGTCCTCTGGCCCTTCATCACCTGTCAACACGACATCATGTGTCAGTACTAAGGAGAAGAATCCCAAAAGACACTTGTCAGACAACCAAGTGCATCACCAAAGTAAGTGTCTAGAGAGGATCCAGGCACCTGGATACTCAGGTGCAGCTTTGCAAGGCCCAGCATGAATGAATGAAGCTTTTCCTTTAGTGTGTTTGTTGTGTACATGGAATAGGCTGATTTGCATTTCAAATAAGCTTTATTTTCATACATTATATGTTGCTTGTATTTAAATATTACCATTTTTATGTTCAAGTTCATATAGTAGAAAGCACGATAAGACAGGTCATTTTTTCTTCTTCCTAAGGAACTATCTTGTGATCTCTGAGGCACTTAAAGGCAGAACCTACAAAGCAGTTGTACTTTTCCATATCTTTGTTTTTAAATAACTGAAAGCAATGATGTTAATTGGTTATGAGGTATTTTCTTCCGCAGATCTGCGACCTTAGGCAGGTAGCACAGTGCTCACCGACAATGTGTAACTTAAACCTAGGGATGGGTTTACTCTGCATTATTGTCCAATTTGTTTGCCATTCACTGACTTAAAGGAGACTAGATTATAATTAAATATAATTTTCGTTATTAAAGTGTTACTATTCTGGAGCATGCTTAGCTGCTTCATGCTAGATAAATGTCTTCATTTTAATAAATCTCTGGGTCCAGAAAATCCCATTGTACTGAGCAAACAAAATGCACAGACTTGATAAGACCAACATAGGACAATAAGCTATGGCAAGGGAAGTAACTAGGACACACGGATACATGCAGCACACTTATGATAACAACTCTGTAGATTATTGAGACTTCTTGATGCCAGGTAGGGAGTGGGAAATAATAATAAAATAATAAATAAATAAAATTTTAAAATAACACAAAAATTGCATAGATTGTATATCCCCATGGGAGCACCTGATCAGGAACCCTAGTCCAGCTCCTCAGGATACCCATCTGACATCTGAGTACTTCTCTTGTTTGCCATTCCCTTTTGTCCTTCACTCTCTCTTCTAAGCATCATCTTTGTTTTTAACCTTTCTCTGAATCTGGTTCTTACAATTTAATTGGGAACATGGTCTCAAGTCTATATACCCACAAAACTCTTATCCAGTTGAACCTTAGAAAATGCCTGGCATTCCTAAGGATAATTTATGCATCTAGGGTATTATTGGCAAGAAGTACTTTTATTTTTCTTTTATTTCCCTGGAAGCTCACCAGTTAAGGAGTCAGAACTTTGTAGGCCTTACCTTATTTGAGAAGATTGCTAAGAAGAAACAGTGAAAAGTGATCCCAGCAGCAGTCAGGAAATTCAGTCATTAGCTCCCCTCTGGTTTGCCCACTTTCTCCTGTGCTGTCTTTTGAATTAAACCCTGAGGTCATTTGTCTGCTTAGACTAAGCAACAGGATCCAATTGAATCAAATTTCTTGTCTTAATTTTTGTTCTGTTTCTGTGAAGAGACACCATGACCATGACAATTTTTATAAAACAAAGCATTTAATTGGGGAGTTGCTTAGGATTTTAGAGAGTTAGTCCATGATCAACCCGGCATGGAGTATGGCAAGCAGGCAGGGAGAGAGAAAGGGAGTCTGAATCTGAACCTGGCATGGGCTTTTGAAACCTCAGAGTCCATTCCTAGTGATAAACCTCCTCCAACAAAAGGCCACACCTCCCAATCCTTCCCAAACACTTCCATTGCTTAGGGACCGCACATTCAAATGTGAGCTTACAGGGACCATTCTCAGTCAAACCACACTCCCACTCCTGGTACCAGCTTCTGTCATTGTTACTGTGAAGAGACCATGACCAAGGCAACCTATGTAAAAGAAAGCATTTAACGATGGTGGCTTGCTTATAGTGTCAGAGGGTTATCATCATGGCAGGGAGTATGGTGGAACTCGGGCAGCCATGGTGCTGGTAAAGTTAACTGAGAGCATTACATTCTGATCTATAGGCATCAGACAGAGAGTGAGATTGGGCCTGGGGCAGGCAGGCTTTTGACTTAGAAGTTGGTTTTGTTTGATTATTTGGGTTTTGCATTTTATATTTTAACCTTTTGATAGGCTTTTAGATATCTCTTTTAAAGAGTAGTTCTGTATATATCTTGAGACTTATGTTGAGTAAAGTTTTAATGAAAATACTTTAAAAACTTGGAGAATTGTTATAATATATATGTATATATACACACACATATATATATAGTATTATGTTTACTTTTAAGAATTTTATGTGCTTTTAAAATGACATTCATTTTATTTATGTGTGTATGTCTTTGTGTGTGTATGTGTGTGTGTGTGTGTATTTGGAAGTTATGTATTATTTCTTAGGACCTACCTACCTACCTTGTTTTTTTGAGACAGTAATTCTTCATTGGTTTGTCGCTTGCCCAAGTGGCTAGACTAACTGGCCAGTGAGTCCCAGGGATTTCTTGTCTTCACCTCCATAGTGCTGGGATTACAAGCTCATTCCACCATGCCTAACTTTTTACCATAGCCAGCTTTTTTACAAGGGTTGTAGAGATCAAGTTTGGGTCCTTCTGTGACAAATACATTGCCACTGAGCCATCTCTCACCCCCAACTCTCTTTAAATGGAAACCAAGGCCAAAAAAAAAAAAAGACAGAAGACAGAAGACAGACCTTAAATAGTATCAAGACCTTAAAAAAAAATCCCTGGTATTTAAAGTTTACATTAGTACTAGCTGGCTTGGAACTCATAGAGATCCACCTGCCTCTGCCTCCCAGCTGCTGGGATTAAAGATGTGTGTATCTCATTACATTTAGCCTATAAAATAATTTTTTAAGAACAAAAATTTACACACACACACACACGGATCATTTGCTCTGAATGAATAAATAGTACCATAGGTATGGCCTTCACTCACATTATTACTGTTTCTCTTTTAGCTGTTAGGAAAGTGAGTCCTAAGGCTGTACCCAGCAAAAAGGGGGTCCGAGTGGGATTTCGGTCCCAGAGCCTCAACAGAGAGCCACTTCGGAAAGATCCAGATATTGTAACAAAGCGGGTTCTTTCTGCAAGACTTCTGAAAATCAACGAGCTGCAGAACGAAGTGTCTGAACTACAGGTCAAGTTAGCCCAGCTGCTCAAAGAAAACAAGGCTTTGAAAAGTCTTCAGTATCGTCAGGAGAAAGCACTGAATAAGTTTGAAGATGCAGAGAGTGAAATCTCACAACTTATACACCGCCATAACAATGAGATTACTGCGCTCAAAGAGCGCTTAAGAAAATCTCAGGAGAAGGAACGGGCGACGGAGAAAAGAGTGAAAGACACAGAAGGTGAACTATTTAGGACGAAATTTTCCTTACAGAAACTGAAAAAGATCTCGGAGGCCAGACACCTACCAGAGCGAGACGATTTGGCCAAGAAACTGGTTTCGGCAGAGTTAAAACTAGACGACACTGAGAGAAAGATTAAGGTAAAATTGTACGCCTTCCCATTGTGTTCTGTGGTGAGTTCTCACGGGGATGGGGCTCCGATTGAGCAGCCCACTGCAGCTCAGCCTTTGCTTGGACCTGAAAGTAGTTTTTAATGTTAATTTTCTGGGATAGTGATAAAGGACTGAGAGCTTTTTAATTCTAACACTCAGGTATCAGAGGCCAGGGCATCTTGGTGAGTTTGAGACCAGGTTGGACTACATTCTAGGCCAGCCAGTGGCGTATAGAGATACCCTGTCACAAACAACAAAAAACACAAAAGAAGTTCAGAACAACTGAGAACGTGTATTTAGGGGCTTGGGAGAGAGCTTAGTCTGTAAAATACCCGCTCCTCAAACAGGAGGACCCGGGTTCCACACCCAGCACTTCCATAAAAGTAGCTGGGTGTGGTAGGTGGTGGTGGGCTCTTCAGGGCTGGGGAGAGGAGGGGCAGACAGGCAAATCTGTGGGGATACTGAGCAGCTAGCCTGATCTACTTGGAGCTCCAGGTATTAGTGAAAGATCAAGGTAGATAGAAGCTAGGAAGGAAACCCAGGGTTGATCTCTGGCCTTCACAGGTGCACACACATGTACGCATACCTTCACTTACTCGAAAGATTATATATTTAAAAGCTAGATGTCAAAGATTGTGCATATTATTAATAATCCATATGTGGATGGATAAATTCGAATCTTAGTCATTTCTGGAAACATTCTCTTTGGCTTTTTGAGTGTCATAAAGAACAGCGATGTGTAGTAAATATTCTGTACCACAAAATCCCTTTCCATTCAGCTAGAAGTTCATGAGGGAGGAGAAAGATCATAAATGGGGCAGAGAGAAAGTCATAGAACACTGTGATCAAAAAGCTAAAGCCAAAAGGGGGACTGTCCTGGAGAAAGAACGGTCCCGTGGGCTAAGAGATATGAGGGGCAGTGGAGGAGGGAAGCAATGAGAAGGACGTGTGGTGGCCCCCAGGTGTGAAATGGGTTAGTGAGTGTGAGGGCCCTTTGTATAAGAGAGCCGCATGACAACAGTCTGTGTGCAGGGAGAGGGAGGCACAAATTGGCCTTCAGGGTAAAATGTGCTTGTAACATGGGCATGTGGAAAGCTGAGGAAGGCCTGAGTTCAAAGCCAGCCTTGACCACGTAGTAAGACTCTTGTCTCTTAAAAAAGGGTACTGGCTTTATTGTTGTTTGTTTTGTGTTTTTACTTGCTATTTTCAAGATCATTACAGATGGAATGCATTAATAGGAGAACTACATAGACAGAGTCTCTATTCCCTTTACCTGGTGTCCCCATATTTTATAACCATCATACAATATTAGAGTCTGGGAGTTGGCTCTAATACAGTGAGATGATCCAGCAGATTCCTCTTTGTACCCATGTGTATCGTGATGCGCAGTTTAATTACATGCATTTTTTGTTTGTTTTTTTGTGACCATGGTTCTAGTCAAGATACAGACCAGTGATACCTTCTCCCTCTAACCTTCCATCCCCCTCTAACCTGAGATGCTCACTAACAGGGAGCCCTATAGTTCAGTCATTTCAAGACGGCTACATAACTGGAGGTGTTTATTGTACAGGCTTGACGCTGGTGTACATCACTTACACTCTAATGTCAGTTGTTGGGTAAGTCAGTGGCTTTTGATTTCTGAGTCGTACCTGACAGTGACATTGTGGTGACGGAATGTCATGGCATAGCCAATTGAAGGATGTCACCCCTCTAGTTTTCATACTAGCCAGTAAAGCTGCTAAGACCATTCATGTACAGATTGTGTGAACATGGCTTTCATTTCTATGGGATGTGTACCAGACATGCATGTGCTGCATTGTAGGATTAGTCTGCTTGTCTGTGAAGAAACTCCCAGCACCTCTCCCGGACAGCAGTGCCAGGGCATGTTCTGTCAGCAGTGCCTTCTGCTCAGGTTCTTCTCAGCAGCAGCTGGTATTAACCCCGTTCTTAACCCGTTCTCACAGGCCTGCAGTACCTTACTGTGCATTTTCCTAAGATGTTGGAGTTGAACATCCGTTCATGGTTTTTATTCAGTATCTTTTTTTTTTTTATTCTTAGTAGATTTTTTTCCTTCTCATTTGCTAAGTGTATCATTTTTGTGTAATTTTTATGTTGATTTTTGAGAGTACTTTATTTTTCTTGATACAAACCTTTAAAAAACTGTATGGTTTGCAAATCTTTTCTCACACTCTGTAACTTTTCTTACCATCTTCACAGATGGAAAGATATTTCAAGAAGGAAAGGTTTTAATTTCATTGTGGTCCACTTTAGCAGATTTTCCTTTGATCTGTTGTGCTTTGTTGTCAAGTCTAAGACCGATTCACCTCTGTTGTCCTTGCGTTTTCTCCTGTGTTGTGACCAAAAGTAGTTCTTTTCTAATCTTTATTAAGGAATAAGTCACACACACACACACACACACACACACACACATATATATATATATATATACATATATATGAAAGAAAAGTTAAGAATAAGGTAAAAAAAGTTACAGAATATGAGAAAATATTTGCAAACCATACAGTTTTTAAAAGGTCTGTATCAAGAAAAATAAAGTACTCTCAAAAATCAAATATATATGTATATATATATGTATGTTTAAGATGTACAGCTCAATATTTTTTTAAGCACTGTATTTTATGTTTTGCATGTAAGGTAGTGGTTTATTTTGAGTTGATTTTTTTGTGCAAAGAGTTGTGGTTAGGCCCAAGAATCAGGTCTCTGTTGCTCTAGTGCCATTAGAAAAGGCAGCCCTTCCTCCTTCACTTGGGCATCTTTTAAAAACACCAGTTGGATGTAATTTTAGGGACTTCTTTCTGGCTTTCTAAACTGTGCTGCTGATGTAAATATCTGTCTCCTGTTACAACACACCCTTGAACCTTAACACAGAGAGTGACTTCTTACAGGCTTCTGAAATTTTTTAAATCTACTTCATATCTTCTGCCTGTCATAAAAGGTTTTATTTTTATGAGTGTGTGTTTGTGTGTGTGTGTGTGTGCATCAGATCCCCAGTAGCTGAGTTATGGGTAGTTTTGAGCTACTAGATTTGTATGCTAAGAACTCAACTTGGGTCTTCCAGAAGAGTAGCAAGCACTCCTAACTGCTGAGCCATCTCTCAGCTTCTCTGTGTGTTTTGTAAAGTGAGCTTGTCTGCAGTTATCCTGGGGCTTTGATAGGAACTGCTTTATGCATAGATCGCTTTGTAGTGACTGCCACCTTAGCTGCTGAATTTTCCAAGGTGTCTCTATGTATTTGACTCATTTTTGTTTTGTTTTCTTTTTGTTTGTTTGTTTGTTTTTGTTTTTTAGAGACAGGGTTTCTCTGTGTAGCCCTGGCTGTCCTGGAACTCACTCTGTAGACCAGGCTAGCCTCGAACTCTTGAACTCAGAGATCCGCCTGCCTCTGCCTCCCAAGTGCTGGGATTAAAGGCGTGCGCCACCACTGCCCAGCGTATTTGACTCATTTTTGATTTCTAAATAGTCTCAATATTTTCTCAGATCATTTCTAAAGTTATTTTTTTAATTTAAAGCTTATTTCTAGTATAAAATAGAGTTTTTTCAGTTGAATGTTTTATGCACACAAAGAAGCAATGTAGTTTTAGAAATGACGCAAGTTTTAGATAGTGGACTTATAAGCTTGTGTCTCCAAGTCTGAGGTCTGACCCAAACAGCTTCAGTGTAATTAAAGTTGTGTTGGGGTCAGTGTTTAACATGCAGTTAGGGACCTTCCTGTGCCGAGTTGGCAAATGTCCTATCTGCCGCCACGCCTTACTCCCTCTCCTGAGTGGTGTCACTTCTAAAGCCCCATCCCCAAGAGACTTCTTCTTTACCTCTTAGCTTATTCTTCTATCCTTCACAACACCTTTGGTGTCTGACTTATTATATGTAACTATTTCCTTCATAATTTTACTAATCAACCCAGAACTTAAAATTGTTGCTATTGAGTTTATAATTTGGCTAGCAAATGTGGCCTCGTTCAGCTTCTTAAATTTTGCCTCTTCTACTCTAAATTCATCTTTCCCTCTAGGTCAGTAATTGGTTAAGAGAGGCAGTGGGCCGGTGAGGCCCTTCATTGTGAGGTTGCATGTTTCACACACTAAGCCTCGGTGGCGCCTGGCTGGATCTGACAGCTGCAGAATAGTTCTGCACCGCTCCAGCACCAGGCGCTTCCCCCTAAGGCCGACTTTCTGTGTGGTGCTGAGGACTCTTTGTTTGTTTGTTTCTGATGTTCTTAAACTATGCCATTTGTGTATGGGCCACAAAAATTTTATATTCTTCAGCTTGCATTACTTTACTAGCTTATATTTTACTTTTAAATGCATTTTATTGTGTGTATTTAACATACAGAACATGATGTTATTACAAGATACAGACATACACTAAAAATGGTTATAATAATAAAACAAAATACTCGTCATCTGAAGAGGCTGCGTGTATTTCTTCTCTGTGACATGAATAGTTATCATGTGCTCAAAATAATTAAAATCTTGAGTATATTATAGTAACTAACCTTGTTTCCATATTGCATATCATATTTTTGACATTTTTGAGTTTTTATATTCATTTTATTTTCTGAGACTTTCATGCATGAGTACCTTAATCTTTTATGCCCAGTATTCTCTTCCTCCAACTCTTCCTGCTTGTTCCCGTTCACTCCGTCTCAACTGCATAAGTTCTTTAATTGTTGTTGTATGTAAAACAACCTGATGAGTCCGTTTGATGTTGTTCATGTGTACACGTGTTTAGGGATGACTTGGGATTAGATAACCTGTTAGGGGGCTCATTCCTGGAGGAGGCTGATTCTTCCACTCTGAGATGCATTAATGGCCTGTAGTCTTCATCAGTAGATGGGGCCTTATGAAATTTCCCCCATCTGTGTTGATATGTCAGCTGATGACATCACTGTTTGGGTCTTGTTTAGGAGACCATATTGTTTAATATTTATGGGTGCAGCTTCCCTGTCATATAGAAACGAGAATCTTGCAGCAG